TACCCAAACAGAGGAAAAAAAAAAAATAAATAAAAAAATAAAAACAAATAAAAAAAATAAAAAGGTGAATTTGGAACAAACTGAGTGAAAACGGGGTGTCATTTCCCATTATCAGTATCAATCATTCGACTTTCTTACACCACACGGAATATATACGTTTTGTTTGTTTGTTTCTATTCTCGGTCTTTTCTCCACAAATTAAAACCAGGTTTTTGCTATAAGAAATTTCCTTTTTGGAGCAACTTATCGTTTTCAATATATCGCATATAACGGGAATGGTTCATTTGGATAAACAGGTATGTATGTATATATATATTTACAATAGATTTTGAGGTTTCAACGTGATATTCCAAACCATGTTAAAAAAAAAAAAAAACGGAGTTTTTAATAACGGGAAACAGCGACGGGGTTCTCTTTATTCTTTAATCGGTTTTCGTTACTATATATACTCAGTACTAGCTGGGAAATGAATATTTTTTTAACGACAAGCGGGCCGCTGAAACTAAAAACATACAAAAAAAAAAAAAAAATAGTACTAAATAAAAAAAAATTATTCTACAGTCGGAATTACGGAAAGAGCTTTAGAGTGGCTCTACTTGTACATTGAGGGCAAAGTTTTTTTTTTTTTTGTCATCATGACTTGAATATCCTAGTAGCATTAATCACTAGAAAAGAAACAAAAGAAGAAGAAGAAGAGATTTTTTTTTTTAAATAAAAAAAAATACGAGAGGCAGAGAACAAGGTTAATGACCCTGGCGACCCTTTAACAAGATTTCTTTCTTTTTTTTTTTTTTTTTAGTCCAATCAAGGTTTAAGGGCCTTTTTTTTGTGTGTGAAGTTTAGACATAAACAACAGCATAGCATTCCCAAGAGAAAAAAAAAATTTAAAAATTCAAAAATAAAGGAGACTTTATTTATTTCTGGTAGAATTTTTTTTTTTTTTTTTTTAATTTAGACAAGTTATTATCATTCATCTCACGAGATCTTTTTCTTGGTTTTCTTTTTGAAGGGATACAAAGGGGGAGGATTGAGAGGGAAAGTATATGAAATAAAAATAAAAATAAAAATAAAAATAAAAATAAAAATAAAAATAAAAATAAAAATAAAAATAAAAATAAAAATAAAAATAAAAATAAAAATAAAAATAAAAATAAAAATAAAAATAAAAATAAAAATAAAAATAAAAATAAAAATAAAAATAAAAATAAAAATAAAAATAAAAATAAAAATAAAAATAAAAATAAAACCAAAAACCAAAAATTAAAAATTAAAAATTAAAAATTAAAAATTAAAAATTAAAAATTAAAAATTAAAAATTAAAAATTAAAAATTAAAAATCAAAAAAAAAAAAGGTTTTTCATCACATATACACTTAATAATCAATTAACAACTTTGCACTGCATTTAATAGAATGCTTGATTTGGGTTTATGACCTGGGCAAAATTGAGTTGTTGGCCTGCAAAAGCGTGGCACGTATAGAGACACCAATATAAATTATTATTACTATTCTACATACTATTAACTAAGCTTCGTAGTAGTAGTATATGATGGTTTACCAAGCTAATGGAGGAGGGTTTCCCTTTGAGAATTGCAAGAAAACTTTTTTTTTTCCTTTTTTTTTAATAATTTATATTTCCAAGAACTAAAGAAAGGAAAGAAAAAAAAAAAAAAAAAAAGAAAGAAAAAAAAAAATTGAAACAGCAAAGATTATTTTTTTTTTTTACTTTTCGTTGAAATTTCCATCTTTGTAATTTCGTTAGAATTTAATATTCATGTTATAGTTTTAGAAAGAGTTCAAACAACAACAACTATAAAAAAAAAATTATATTGTATTTTTCTTCTTTATTATTTTGATGTTTTATTGTCGTGCTTTGTGTAAGAAAAAAAAAATTAAGAACTGAACAAAATGCATAGGTAAAGTTTTAATTATTTTATTTTAACTATTTTAACTATTTTAATTTTTTTAATTTTTTAACTATTTAATTATTTAATTATTTTATTTAAAAGCCCATTTTTTGGTTAGTCCCATCTTTTTTTTTTTATTTTTTTTTTTCTGCTCTCAATTATTACTTTTCTATGCCAAGAAGAAAAAAAAAAAAAAAGATTTTGGTCCAAACAGTACTTACAATATATTAGGCGGTAAACGCCGGGATATTTTTTTTTTTTTGTTCTCTTCAAAGTGATGGAAGTATAAAGAGGTTATTGCATTCTTCAAGTTATCATTAACTATAATTTATTTATTTATTTATTTATTTAATTTAATTTAATTTTTCTTGCTCATCATATAGTTGTATCATTTAATCACCCTATAAGCTTATGAGCTTATAAACTCAGAATAAGCCCAGGAATTCAATATATATATATATATATATATATATTAAGAAGAGGCGGGGGGTTGAGTCTTGGATGTGGGAAAGCTTTGATGTTAGCGAGAAAAGTTTATTTCATTTAGTTATATACTTTTTTGCTTAACGAACGACTAATATGTCGGTATCCCTGTAAACCTGGCTGGTGCAGGTGCCCAAAAGTTTCTTTAATATTGCCATCCGGCATTGAAAGCTTATAAGCTAACAATACCTAAAGAGAGAGGATCCATTTCCCACTGCAAATGGATATTATCTATATGAACCTTTATTTTTATTTTTTTTTTTTTTTTGTATATTCGGTCTTTGTGTATTTATTTATTTTTTTTTTATTTTTTACTATGTGGGTTATTTCGCTTACGGGTATCTTCACTATCTTTCAATTTCCCAATGGCCCAAAAAACCCAATCGAAATAAGCACATGGAATTAGGTTTTAACAACGCGCACGCCCTCCACATCTCTCCCCGCCGTGAAATTTGGTCTTGGTAACTATGACAAATATTGAAACGATGATGTTAATATTGATATTGATATTGATATTGATATTGGTATTGGTATTGGTATTGGTATTGATGTTGATGTTGATGGAAATGGTAATGATTCAAATTGGAATTTCTACTAATTTCTACTAATATCCGAAACCACCAACATAAGCCTTTTAATAACCTTATTAAAAAGACCTTTTCTTCTCACCTCTTTTTTTTTTATCCATACTTTTTATATAGCTATTTTCTTTAATTTATTTATTTAAATTTTTTTATCATTTTTACCTGCATAAAGAACAAGTCAAATAAAAATTCATGGAGACTTTTATTTATGCCGGGTCACATAAATCCTGCTAACTGCAAAAAATCCAATGCCTACTCGGCTAGTTTAGTGGTGAATTAAGAATATTATGGGAAGGCTTTCCCTCTATTCTCCATTTAATGATACCGTGAAAGGATAAAAAAAAATAAAACTAATGAAAACTAATGAAGCTAAGTAATACTAAAGCCCTTATAAGGCTTATAATCCATTAAACACTTCCTATCGTATTCCAGAATTCATGCTATTTTTCATCTACTCAGGACCCGGAATTTTTGCACGAAACCTAATCAATCTTTTTATTTTTTATTTTTTTTTATTTTTTGCATAATGAGACGGATCTAGCCCTAAAAACTAAGAAACATAAGAAAAAACAACATGAAAGAAGAAGAAGAAGAAGAAGAAGAAGAAGAAGAAGAAGAAGAAGAAGAAGAAGAAGAAGAAGAAGAAGAAGAAGAAGAAAAAAAAATAAACGGCGGAGAATCAGGTCTAGAACTAAAAGAAATAGTCTGTAAAATTTCAAGCCTATTAGTTGCAAAAATTATTTGGATCTCCCTCTTTCATTAGAAACCGTCCTACCTACCCACCCTTCTCTCTTCCAGTAAACGGACTGAGAGACAAATAAAGGGACAAAAATAAAGATAAAAATAAAATAAAGCTTTCGATTGGTTTCTGTTTCACCAACTGAACCCTCCGTTGAAAACGAATACAGTAAGCTTTGTCTTGGAATCTGGACTAAATGGTATTTTGAACCGTTAGCAACATCATAACGCTCTAAAAGATTTTTCTTTATTTTTTATTTTTTATTTATTTTATTATTATTTTATTTTTTTTTTTCAAATTTATCAATCCTTGCTATGCTCAGATATCTCTCATATACTGATGCATTGATCATCATCATCATATATTTACACAATTTAAGTCTTGTTTATGTTTGGTGGACCCTTAGCGGGTCTTATTGTGAATGCTCCTTAATAAAAAAAAAAAATTAAAAAGAATAAACCGCCTTTTTTTTTTTTTTTCGTCTCAAAAAGTTTTTTTTATTCAGTCAGTCATTCTTTATTATTATTTATTATTTTCAAAAAAAAAAAAATAAAAATATTTGCATAGGTAGGTTCTATTCAATAAGTTATGATTATCATATATGCAAGTTATGCTATTAGTATTAGTATTAGTATTAGTATTAGAATAGTGTATGGTTACATGGTGGTGATTGATGCTGGTGGTAGTGGTGGTGGTGCCGTTTCCGCTGTTCACCAAAAACAACTACCATATTGGGGCAAAGACTTACTGAGCCAGCACTACGTTCGGGACTATTGTTGGATATTATTATTATGGATTTAATAATAAAAATTATTATTATTCAGGATTTATTATCTTAAATTTTTTTTTCTTCGAATTATTATTCTTATTCTTTATTATTTTTATTATAATTATTATAATTATTATAATTATTATAATTATTATTATTTTTATTATTTTTATTATTTTTATTATTTTTATTATTTTTATTATTTTTATTATTTTTATTGTTATTATAATTATTATTATTATTATCTGCTATTATGACTTCCTCAACCATTATGACGGAAATTTCTTTTATACTCAAGATATATATATGTCTGCTGCCTTATAAAAGGTCCCTGTCTTCCCCCCCTTTTTTTTTTTTTTACTTTCTTTAACTTTTTTTTTTTCTTAAATCCTTAGAAAAAAATAAGACATTAAAATCTCTCTTTCTCTCTTTCTTTTTCAAATTTATCTTGACTTTTTCAATACTTGACTTTCTTTTACCAACATTCTTCATTGCTTAGTATACTCGCTTTACTTCCACAATGGCTTTTGAAGTTAAAAACACTTACGGGTCGCGATCTATTCTTAACGACATGCAACCATCTCAACAACAGGCGCCTATTCATGTTGCTCCCGAACCTCAAAGACCTCGGATATGCCCACCTCCTGCTTCTGTTCAACAGCAACCCTATCAACAATACCAGTTGGCTTCTATTCCTCCAACTCCAACTCAAACTCCAACTCATTATCTTCAGAGCTCTCCTCAGGCATATCCTCAGCAACTTCCTTATGACTACTCATTTCGCCGACCACAATTACAACAACAACAGCAACAACTACCACAGACTCATCACATCCATAATCATCATCATAGTCATAACTCTCGTCCAAATGCATCCTCTTACTTTGAGAAGAATGGCAAAATCTCACTGCCACCCCTCAAACTTGGAGGTACTGCAAGTGGTGAAAAGCCTTTGGAATCTGCGTCGGGTGCTTCCCCACTAAATGATTCAGACATTTTTGCCCTCTCAAAGTTCAACATTAACGAAGGCCTGGACTCTAAACATCATGACCATCGGTCTTCTTCTCATCCACATCCACAATTACAACACCATCAACAAGCATCACAACAATTACCACCCCCACCACTACAGCATCATAGAATAAGAAATGGCTCATTTGACTCAGTCAACTCTGTCCCTCAAACTCTCTTCTCACCTTCGATCTCGCGATCATCCTCCGTATCCTCTAGCCTGAGTCCGCTGTCTCCACAACATGAAGTCTTTAACTCTGGGAATCACCATGTTTTGTCCCCAGTCTCTAGTTCTTCGGAAATGTACCCTCCTATGCATTATGCGCATCCACCTCCCCCACCTCCACCTCTTTCTCTTATTCAAGAGCAACAGCATCTTCACCAGCAACTGCACCAGCAGACTGTTTCTCCACCTTCAAATGTCTCTCCAGTGCCTCCACCATTGCCTTCATATCACCCATACTCTCAATCATATCACATGATCCCTCCTCCCCAGCAGCAGCAGCAGCAGCAGCAGCAGCAGCAACAGCAGCAGCAGCAGCAGCAGCAACAGCAACAACAACAGCAACAACAAAATCAACAACATCCACCACACATTCAATATGCAGTGACTGCCGCGCCAACTCCTTCTCCTCCCCAACAGTTACAACAACAACAACTTCCTCCACAACAGCCAGTTTCTACACGAGCTGCACCTTCTGTTGCCATCCCACCCACACAATCACCAGTGGTTGCCGCTTCGCTAGCTGCGTCGTCTACTGCGCCGGGAAACACACCGCCACTAAAGCACAAGAAGAAGTACATTTGCAGTAGTTGCCAAAAGGGGTTCACTACCTCTGGGCATTTGGCGCGCCACACTCGCATCCATACTGGAGAAAAGAATTACGAGTGCCCGCATCCAGAATGCTCAATGCGATTTGCTCGCCAGGATAACTGTATGCAGCACTACCGTATCCATCTTGGTGGCCGATCGCGTGCAAGTGCAGGGTCGCTGGCGGCTGCTGCTCTTAATAACAATGGATCTGCGCCAAATGGCGTTCATGTGGCCATTGGACGAGGTACTCGTGGCCGCAAGACTAGTCGATAAAAACCAACAAACAAACAACTTTATGAATGAATGAATGATGCCATGAAAATATATATAATAATGTGTACTATGTTTTCTCTTTTCCTTTTGTTTTTTTATAATAAAGTACATGATAATGAGTAATTTGTCCTTATATTTTTACTGAAACTTGGATCCTTATAGACCTTTCTCTATTGACTTTACTGAGAAATAAACGTTTTTTTTTTAATTTTTTTTTAAATTTTTTTAAATTTTTTTAAATTTTTTTAAATTTTTTTAAATTTTTTTAAATTTTTTTAAATTTTTTTAAAGGTACCTGAGACATTTTTAGTAGCTTGCTCAGTATTTAGTTTAAAAAAAAAATCAAAATGCTGTTAGCGAAGAAGGATTGTGCTATTTACGAAAAAATACAACATGATATGAAAATTCAATTTTAATGTCCCCCCACCACCATTAATGGTTAAATTTTAGACTACTGTAACTCTGCTTTTTTTTTTTTTTTTAATATATATTTGAGCGCATTAGTTTGAATCTAACTAAACATTAAATAAAAAAAAACGCATCTTTGTTTTTTTGTTACCCGTGATTCTTCATACCATCATGGATAGTTATTTTGGGTCAGCAAATCATGTATGGTTATTAATATGGGAATACTTGTTTGTCTATTATTTCAGCATTAGAAACAAGATAAATGCTCGCTCGCCTATTAATTTCACTAATTTTTTATTTTTTATTATTTTCTTAAAATAAAATAAATTTTTTTAAAAAAAAGAAAGCATTGATTTAAATCATTTTGATAAACTGGAATTTATTTTTCTTAATGTTCACCTTAAACAGTAGCGTTATTCCGAAATAATAAAAATAATAGAAAATAATAATATAAATTCTCAAAATATCAAAATCCTACAAAGCGTGTAAGTTTAAAATTACAAAAAAAAATAAAAAAAATAACAAAAGACCGTGCACCAATTGACATTGCAGTTCCACTATAGCCAAGACTGAGACCATATAAGAAAAAAAAGAAAAGGCAAAAAAGCAAAAAAGCAAAAAAGTGAAAAAGCAAAATAAAAAAGAACAAAAACAATAAAAAATGAAAAAAAAAAAATGAAAGATAGGCCGGCCTTTGGAGCAAGGACCAAGATTGACAACGCACAAACAACCTCATAAGTTTTTCATGCAAGCTACATTGAATTGTTAAATAATAGTCTTTGCTCTTGTAGAAAATTTTTTAAAAAAAAAAAGATCCCGTTTTTCTTGTTACTATTAAGATGGTGAATTACGGGATCATCATCACCATCATTAAACGAAAAAAAGTATCTATACTTTAGTGAAACCATGAGCATTTAACACTAAATTAACATTTACATTTCCTCCAAAAATATTCCCAGCCCTTTTATTTTATTTTTTTTTAAGAACGCCAACAAAGGGGGAGGGAAGAAAAGGGTATAAAGGAGAACCACCCCAAAAAAAAAAAAAAAGACTCAGGTTATCATCCGGCCCATGGACAATAGACATTGATATAGAAATGTAAGTTGGCTAATTATAAATATATGGTAGGTTTATGTGATACGGAATCATTGATGGTTATTATTTATCTTCATTTTGTAGACATGAACCCCTCATCAACTCTCACTTGCTCAGACGGCTTGCAGAAGAACAATGAAAAAGAAAGAAGGGTGTTTTTTTTTGTGAAATATCAAGAAAGAATAAACATCAAAAGAAGGATAATGAGTTACTAAAGAGATTTTTTTTTTCTTTAAACATTTATTCAATATTGCAAATTGAGATATTTCAATTTTTAAAAACAAATTAAGACACAATTTAAAAAAGAAAAGGTTTTAGAGAAATTTAGAGAAAAGGGCTGGAATACGAATTAAGCAGTATTACATAATTTTGTGATTAAACTGAACCTTATATTTTCTACCTTGGTAACTTTAAGACTGATCATTCTGCCAAATGTAGGGATAAGTATGCATAGAGTAATGGTGAAGTCGAGGTCTCAATTAAGAGAATTAGTAAAAATATGATCAAGTCTTGGGTGTAAGCCGCTACTTCGGAATGACCTGCTGAAGATATGCTAAACGCAGTATTACTACATGACAAAAAAGCAAAGATAGAGTTCAAAAGATAAAAAAAAAAAATAAAAGTTCAAGTTTACAAAATAAATGAAAAGAAACGAAAAGAAACAAAAAAAAAAGAAAAAAAGAAAAATAGTATTAGGTGTGATTTTAATGGTTTAACAAACATAAGATAAATGTATAAATAAAATTTTCAAAAAAAAAAATGGCTATTAATTTTTTGATTTCATCTTTTTTTTTTGTTTCTTTTCCTTTCAGTCTCCTTTCCTTGCTTCTAAAGGATATAACTACAACTTCTTAGTTTGGAAATTAATTGAATAGAGTAAAATATTGTTACTCTTGAAGAGTACCGCGCCTCAGCGAGAGTACTTCAATACCATGCTGTTATTTGTATCTTTCCACTCTGTTGTACAACACGGGCTAATCGGAGTCTCCCCAATGTTCTGGGGTCTTCTCAGAAAGGCCGGATCCCTAACCTCTTGGTAAACAATGGTTAGGGTTTTCAAGATATGCTTAGGAATCACTTAAGCTTACATATGCAGAAGTAATAATATTTAAATGATTGTTATTCAATGACAAAAATGAAAAATTTAACTAATTTACATATATTCGAATCTACAGAATAAGAAGACCTAAAAATTAACAATTCAAAAGAAAAAAAAATTACTCTCCCTTATTTATTGATTTAATTACAATTAACCTCATATCTTACTTTTCATATTATATATAATAGGTGGATCAGAAGAAGACTCAGATTCATATGCATAGCGTAACTCAACTTAGGGTATTAGTCCACGTTTGTAATTTTGAACAAGACAAAAATGAAAAAGCAAAAAAATAGCAATAAAACGTGAAAAAAGGTAAAGAAAAAGCAAAAAAATAATAAAAAAAATTAAAAAAAATTAAAAAAAATTAAAAAATTAAAAAAATAATAGAACAAAAGAACAAACGAACAAAAAAAAGCAAAAAAATAAGAATAAAAATAAGAATAAAAATAAAAAATAAACAAAAGAAATTAAACTTGTAAGTTTGGAATTTAAGTCAGAATTCATTAATTTAGAACAAGAAATAGTACAAGAAAAAGAAAAGAAAGCGTATATTGCCGTATTGCTTCGGATAGAAAGAAAAGACAAGATTATTGAGACCAAACTTCAATTAATTGAATTCATTATAATTAAAAAAATTAACACGGATCGTAAAAAAAAATGTTAAATTTTTTTTAAAAAAAGATAATTTTAATATAGTTACTATAAAAAAAGATTTGAATTTGGACATAGATTTTGAAAATTGATGTTTTGATATTCGTCTATTTTCTCCTAATTCGGAAAGTTTTTCGGATATCAAGGTTCTTTTACCACACATACCTTTATTTATTGTGCGGCTCAACTCTTGGATACTAACAAAAATACAAACTGGAAAAGAGCGCACTTCAATGTGCCATGATTCATACTCACAAGTCTCGATTCGGGGCCTACAAGTGTAAATACATATAATTAAGTCATCCCTTTGTTCCAACGGTGCGTAAATACGCATAATCAAAAAAAAAAAAAAAAAAGAAAGAAAAGGATTTTTAGAAAAATAAAGTTTAAAATGAACCAGCTAAAGGCTGAAAAGATAATTATATTAAAATATATGGTTTTTTTTTTATTTTCCAAGTCTTTATTCAATTTATCTGTTAATAATAACCTCGGCAGAATTCAAAATATATTTAAACATTAGATCATCACTTTACTCATGGTGCTAAGTTCCTAGTATCTATGCGCTTAAATATTTAGTCTCAAGTCTTTTAATGTATTTAACACCATATCTACATGAAATATACAAATATAAATAGGAAAAAAAAAACCGGATCTGAAAAACTCGAATAACCCGAATAACTTCAGGGAATCTGTTCCCTAAAATTGAAAACAAAAAAATATGTTTACTTGACCCTGCCCAATCGTCTGGTAAAAAGAAAATGAAACTTACAAGCTTACGATCTTACCCACTTAACCCGGTGCGTCGTAAATAAATTTAAATCTGCTATGGTAAGATAATACCGAGATCGGTGATTGTTAAAGCATAATGAAGTCGGAATGGGCTTTTAGGAAACGATTTTATTAATCAAAAAAAAAAAAAAAATAAAGTATTCCTAGAATACCCATATCTTTTACCGCTTTTTATTTTCCGGTAGATGGTACTTGTATGTACCAGAAAACTTGCAAAATTTATTACAATATGATCTTTATTTTCATCACCAGATTAACGTTTTCTTTTTCCGGGCCCTGAAATACAAGACAATCTACCCAAGGCGTTTTATCTCGGAACAGCGCAAACAAACTTTTTTTTTTTTCTTCGCTAGTTTTTCAATTTGAAAAAGATGAAAAAAATTCTTTTTAATTTTTTTTTTTTTTTCTATTTATTTTCTTTAAAGATTGTTAAAGAAAAGAATTTAATTTTTTTTTTCCAATACAAAGCGGCGAATCTTACATATTTGACAGTATACCGAAATTTCCAAAAATGGGTAATTCAGCCTAGAGAATTCGATTAAATAAAAAAAAAAATTTAAAGTTACCTCCACGCCTTTGTAAAGTGTAATATTCATTCATCCTCCAAAACTCATTTTTATCAATACCAAAAAATCAAAAGTCGGATATTTGTATGTACAAGCCGTACACGCCACAGGTGATCTTTTAACCAGCCACTTTCAAAGATTCTCTCTTTTGTTTCAAATCCTTTTATATATTGTTTGTTTGTTTCTATTCAAATCCTTTTATGAATAAATATATAAATATAAAAACATAAAAACATAAAAAAACAATATTTCTATTATTACATTTCTCAAACGTGTGTCATTTTCCTTTTTTTTTTTTTTTTTTTATAGTAAACAGTCTAAGTTTGGAGTCAAAAAAAATCGATCCCTGTTAAAAATGTCATAAGAGGTGGAAAAAATATTAGCAGAAG